ATATATATATATATATATATATATATATATGTACTTTTTAAACCTGTGACTCTTACTTTTGTACATGCTCTTATATACTCTTTATATACTCTTATACACTCTTATTTCTATGCTTTTTATACTTTATATACTCTTACTTAATACTCCCTTTTTAAACCTGTGATGGGCCCTTTCTCACATATCAGAATTAGGAAGGGCTCATCTCAAGTCTATAAAGGAGCCCAATTCGCCACAGTAAAGAGCCATGCAAATTTTAGACCTGGAAATGGCCTTTCTCTGATCAGGAAAGACCCATCGCGGACTCGGTAACGGCTCAAGTTAGGTCTGGACGGGGCCCATAGACCCCCAACACACCCAGCACCCGAAGAAAAGGGCCCCAAGGGCTTCTCACAAGGGACACGCTGAGGTTGGGAGAGGATCTTGAGGCTGGGGAGGGGCCCTCCAAATGGGATAAAGAAAACACGAGTGTGCACGCGTAACACAACTATGAGCTCAGAAGTTGTCATCAAAAGATCCAGGCTCCTCGAGATGGTCACGTACACATGTAGGGAACCTCTGAATCTGACTGGTCACCAGGAGTTATACGAGTTCATGAAATTCAGTAAGAACCAAAATGCGTAAGAGGCTGTAGCCACGGTCCAGCGGCCCTGATGATCTTGATATGTAGTATGTACGCCTGAAGCTGTCGGTCAAGTTCAAAAGCACCTGCAGACCTGGTACTGTAGGGGCCAGCGCAGCATGGATCTTCGAAAGATACCGCAGTCCAGTACAAATACTCATTTTCATACGTAGCGGGTATATTTAGTTGGCATATAAGAGTACCTTGTGAGGCTTATCGGCTAGCAACGGAAATTGGTTGCCGGCCTGCAGCATCTATTTTGTTGCGTGACCTCTGCCGGTGCACTTCCAAGTGCTGCGTGCCGTCCTGAATGTGATGGCTGGCATGAGTCAACATTGGGAGAAGACAGAAATGATCCCGCAGGCATTGTGTGACCAGTTTGATAAAACTGCAGCATGGCTATCAGCTCGCACAGTGAAATGCTTGTAAAGCTAACACATCCATTTTATTTGCGTTGACCCCATGACATCGTGTCGCTGAAAGCTGACTGGTCTGCCGCTGCGTGGATTTTCAAAGTCATGATAGTCAATCAAAAATACGTATTTATAATAAATATATAATAAAATACTGCAAAACCAAGGTGGTGCAGATGGCTCTGTGGACTGGAACATGTATCAGTTTCGCGCTTGAGAGTTGCCCTGTCAACGACGCCATCTTTTTTTTCTTTCTCCTCTTCTTCTTCCTACCTTTCCACCCGCTTCCCCAATCCTTGAGTTACCCCCCCCCCCGCCGAACTTGCCGAATGCGCACCAGCCTCAGGTTCCGCAGGCCGGCAATGAGCGAGTTAAAACAGGTTAAAACTGGTGCCTCTAACCCGTAACAGCTGACAGTGGTCCGAACGGTCCTTAGCAGATTTTGCCGTCGTCATGACGACTGCGGTCGCGACAATGGCAAGAATTGCAGTTGTCATGAACCCCGGAAACATTCTGGCGCTACCACGAAAAGGAGGAGTGCAGTGTTGTTACAAAATGATTACTTCATTGTACTGCAGTGGCACTGCCTAGTGTTATTGTAGGCATAAATCATCCTGAGGCTTCATCCGAGTATGTTTTTTTCCTAATATGCCACCCATAGGTAGGGTCTTTCTTTAAGCATAGCTGACACTGTACCCGGACTTAAATTTCTTTCTTGAATCATATTGAGAACGTTGAAGCTGTTACGACACATTTACGTAACTGAGGTAGATATGGTGAAACTCCAATTCTAGCCGCATGGTCGCATACCACATGCGTCGGCTTTCTTAGGACGGCATGTTATTCGTGCTCGTGCATAGGGAGATGGGCCTTCCCACCATTTCAGCTATACAGTTTTTCTCGACTCTTTGTCGATGCAAAAAAGCATTTCACGCAGGTTTTTAGAAAACGTTTATGTGGAGAAGCTGAGGTGAGGTGCAATCATTAAATTGAATCCCTGATTAGTGCGCGGGGCATGTAGAGGGCTGCCATTGTAGTACTCGGCCCTGCGGGCTGGGCCCCTGAATATGACCTTCGGCCGGAGTTTTGGACCCTTCGGGCCCTCAAATCAAGCCCCTGATCGTAGGTTCCGAAGGGTCCTTGGACACCTCAGCACCTAGGGGAGAGCACGTGCCCCTGTCCACCCCTGTATGCGCTACTGCGCATACAAACAAGGACAAAGACCAAAAGAGATGATGCTCACACACGATGTCAGCAGCAGCGCGGGGCTGCAAAGGCTAACAGCATCTTCGGCATCCTTCCTCTCCAATAGTTCCATGCTGTTCCTTGTTCTTTCGACACAGTTGGCGACTGCAGCGGACACCCATGATTTCTGATGGGCCGACCTTCCGCTCCGTACCCAAGTCACGCACAACCCCGACGCGTCATGCAATGAAGTCCATAACGCATGCTCGTGAAGGCCTGGTCCTGAGAGCTGAACCATATAAAAGCCGCCGCCGCGGTGTGGCAGACACACACCAATTTGCTCCTAGCATTGTCGCCCTCCTTCCGCGAGAGCAAATATGAACTTCAAGCTTGTGGTTAGTAAAACGAGTCTCTGTCGCCCGGGGTCTTGGTCTCCGTAGACGAATGGGAACAATAATATTGGCATACTCGTGGCACCATTCGCATGTGTTTCTTCTCTCAGCTGAGCAATCCACTGTCGCTAAAAACGCTTCTAATTTCCAGCTGCTGTTTTTGGTAATGCTGGTGGTTATTGCATGCTGAGTGTAGAACACTTGAAAAGAGTTGCATATCATAAAAAGCGGAATGTGTGCAACGTTTGCATCTATAGGCGCTGAGAAACGAGACGAAATGCCGGCCAGTTACAAACGTTTCTCCTCCTCTCAGCCGAGGAATCCGCGGTCGCTTATAACGCCTGACAATTTCAGCTGCTGTTCCTGGCCGTGCTGGTTGCGGCTGTTGCTGCCGGAAGGGGCAGAAGATGATTTGCGATGTGGTAGTTGGCTGTTCTGATAAAAATACACGCTACTCGTCATGTTGCATTGTTTTGGCGCTCGCTGGGGATGGAATGAGTGAAACATAATTATAGGATATCTTGTCGCGTCATGTGTTTACTACGAATCGTTTCATGTGGGTTGCAAGTTGCATGACAAAAACGAAGATGCAGCGATGATGAAAATACGTCAAGAGCGCAAGAAAGACCTACAAAATCGGACAAACCGCTCTTTTCACATTGTTCAGGTTTAGGTGTGAGCGCACACGGATCATGGAGGTCATAACGGCCGGCGGCGCAAAATGTGATGTCGCACGTGTTATGTGTCACGCGCACACTAGCCGTGAAGAAACAGCTTGTCGATTTCCTCGGCTTTTAAGTTTCACGCGAGATTTTCGCACCCAAGGTACGTAGCCACAAGGGACCGGCATGCTACAAAATGGTATTGAACGGCCAATCGCAAAGTATGCTAAACGTGGGGTCACAAGTCCCACGTGCCAGGCACATACGAGCTGGCAAGATCGACGTTGCACTCTTCCACGGGTTTACATGTTTTGCGCCACATGTCTGCACCCGGAGCATGATCCCACATGGGAGTGGCATGCGTTGATACGGAATCGAATGGAAAACCACGCGGTGCAAGTTATGATATCACGTGTGCCAGGTGTCAACATGCGCGGGCCAGCAAAATGGATTATCCCCTCTAGGACGGTTTTCCCCTCGTTTTGCAGCATACAACATTTGCGACGAAGCGACTCGAAAGTAGCATACTTCGATAGGCAATATTAGCGGCAATCATGTGGCTCAAAATGTGATTCCTCACGTGTCATGCGTCGCGCGTACACTAGCTGTGAATATGCACATTGCCGATTTCGGCGGGTTGTTACGTTTCATGGCGCATTTCCGCACCCAGGGCATGTAGCGTCACGGGACTGGCATGCTGCAATAATGAATGAAACAGACAGTCGTGCGTTCTCCAGTGTTCGTACGCACGGGTGACGTGTCACACTCACGCGCTCCGGAAAGACTGAAGTTGCTATTTTTGACAAATTTGCCCCTTTTGTGCCACACCTTAGCACCCAAGGCACGGACCCACTCGGGAGTGGCGTGCATTGATAGGGACTCGACTGCGTGTCATGCGTGCACGAGCCAACAAGATGGATTTGGCCGTTACCGACCGTTTTCGACATTTTGCGCCATGTCTCGGCATCTAGGGTAGCTATAGACGTGAATCTAAGTGCAAAATATAGACAACTTAAACAGACAGAAAAGACGCAGCGAGTGTGCAAATACTTGCATAATGCTAGGCGTGGTTATTCCGATGCGGTGGCTGCACTACCCCGCTGAATAGCATTTGTAGCCACATTCAAAGCATTATGCACTGAACAATGGTATAAAGGGGTACGTTTTTAGAAAAATATTATGCAGGAACTTCATCTAAATTATCAAGTTAGTCACGGCGATTATTGCTTTCATGCTAGCTGGACTCCGGAAATCCCGTGCTACCCTCTCTGTCGGTGATAAATTCATCGAATGATCATGGCTGTATTGCGGAGAATTGAGGAGCCTTTACTCCTAGTTACGAGTTCAAAAATCGAGTTGAAGAAAACAACCACATGGAGAATATCCCGTGTACCCAGCATGAATAATGCTGCCAAGAGTTAAAGAAAAGGCGAGTTGGACAAGAAAACCGCAAAACAAACAAAAACTTAGAATCCTTATATAAAACCCTGCGTAACAAGTGTTGAAAACTCCGCTGGAATCATGGATGGACCCCTTATTTGGGTCTTACATCGATCCATGTCCGTCAACCAGGAAAGAATGAATTGGCAGTAGATTTGTGTCATACCCAAGAATTCTAAGCGACAGTAACAGCGTTTTTGTGACATATCTGGTGCCGTGTATTTTAGGTAACCGCCCACCTCGAAGTCACATGACGCAGGGAAATACACTTTTTATCAATGGTTGGAACTGTGATCGGCTAAAAAGGTGTCGGGTCCTCGCGAAATATCATATCGTTGGATAATCTTAGCGTAAGTTAAGCATACACCATAGAGTATTTTGGTCGATATAAGCGATTCTTGCGCCTGCGATGACATCGCCGGCGAAAGGAAAGCATGGCCCGTTGGTGGGGGCTCTCGATCAAGGTACCAGCAGTACGAGATTTCTGGTAAGATGATCCTGTCGCTATTAAAATGATGTGACTTTGTGATCAAGGCATGAACATATAATAGTCATGTACTGCTTTTTACATCATGAGCAATATGGCTTTGCAACACAATAATAGTGATGACCTCCAGTCAGCAAATTGTGTCATCATTTTGTCATTAAAACAAGGTAATTGCAATTGATTGACTCATAGCCATTGGCTATTGTCAAAGCAAGGACATTGGTGTCAAACAATGCTAACAAGTACAATAGGCTGATCGGTAGATATTATGTCACAATGTGCTTGCATGTATGGGCTAAATGTATTCTTGTTTTACAAGCATGGATGATTAATGATTTAGCCTTGTTGATGAGTGCCAATTACTATTTTTTAACCTTTTTACATTGAATGAGGAGATGCTACACAATAGTGTACCAGAGCTTGTTTGCACAGTGCATGGGTCCAGGGTGTTTCAAGCAACCACATTTGCGTTTATGTAATGTTAACAGGAAAGACATATGGGTCTTCTGCACAGCAGAGCATATGTTGTTTTGGCACAACACAATAGCACATAGGAAATTACCCTAGAGCCTAGCATTGTAATGTTTAAATGCTATGCAAAAATATCACTTAAGGCGCTAGATTCTATCATGGCATAGATTCAGCTGGCAGTGCCTTGTAGTGCAGGGACGTCTCATTGCGGCAGGTCTTCACGGCCAACTCTGCCCAGCTGCTGACATACCATCAAGTGGAAGTGAAGCTGAGCTTTCCCCGCGAGGGCTGGGTGGAGGCCGACCCAAGCGAGCTGCTGCAGACGTCATTGGTCTGCATCGAGAAGACAGTGGAGAACCTGCGTGCCCTGGAGGTGGATGAGGCAGACATCGCCACCATCGGTCAGTGGGATCGTGAATACCTCATGGCAATCAAGGATGAGAGTGGTGCTGATCCACTCGCAATCTCATGTCAAATGATCTGCCTTTTTTACCAACAACAGGTTTGGAAAAAGCATGTCTGATTGTTTCCTGCTGCTGATCATGGAAGCTCTCATAAGAAGCTCCCTTTGTGGCATACCAAGCGTGAAGTCACTTCACTTTCCAATCATCACCTCACAGTCACTTCAGACCATGCCAGTGACCCAAAAGTGGTAGCCCGATGTCCTGCGCCGCCGTCGCTCGGTTGCCTGGTCGCGACCAGTGACGTCGTTTGTGGTGTCCATGGCCAGGTATCACGAACCAGCGAGAGACGACAGTGGTATGGGACCGCACCACCGGCCGGCCGCTCCACAACGCCATCGTCTGGCTCGACGCGCGCACCACCCATACGGTCCAAAAGCTGTTGCAGAAGTAGGTCGGCCGGCGGCGCGCCGTGGTGTTCCTGCAGGGGTTACGTGGGCCATGTGCCAGTCCGGAGTGGTAGGAGCTGGTGTGGATAGAGAGGGGGTAGTGGTTTTTCTTTTCGATGGGTTTGGATGCTGGCTGGTATTATGATGGTTGGGTCATAGTGATAAAGATATGGTTTTAGTGCATGCATGGGTGTGTATTTTGCTCCTGGTTTGGTGGTCTGATATCCGACGCGGTCGATACCAAGACAGAGACTCGTGTGGAGCTGTGAGAATTCATTTCTTTTGTGGGTTGCTGCTTCTCCCTGGCATAGAGTACATGGGTTGTATGAGTGAACCACATCACGCTTCCCAAGAAATGCTTTGTCGATCTGCTCTCTTTCTTTGTAGAGATGCACTTTTTAAATAGAAGAATCAGACGACCGCCTCACAGTCTCCATCCAATAGCTGCGCTCGGCAGCGCCAGCGGCGTGAATTTTGCGTCGGCGTGTGCGTGTGCGTGTGCGTGTGCGTGTGCGTGTGCGTGTGCGTGTGCGTGTGCGTGTGCGTGTGCGTGTGCGTGTGCGTGTGTGTGTGTGTGTGTGTGTGTGTGTGTGTGTGTGTGTGTGTGTGTGTGTGTGTGTGTGTGTGTGTGTGTGTGTGTGTGTGTGTGCGTGCGTGCGTGCGTGCGTGCGTGTGTCTGCGCCCTTGGTCGCGTTCCCGCTGTTTTGCTGCTCCGTGGGGGCAAAAACGAGTTCCCATTCGACGTCGGTGTTTCGACATCTCCTGACGCGTGACGTCCATTCCTCAGTAGGCGTGTCCTCGTGTCGGCAGATGCCCTGAGAAGGACAAGGACTACCTGAAAGAGCTCTGCGGTCTGCCCATCAGCACCTACTTCAGCGCGGTGAAGCTGCGCTGGCTGCTGGACTCGGTGCCCGAGGTCGCCGCTGCCCTCCGCGATGGAACCCTCATGTTCGGCACCGTGGATACCTGGCTAGTCTGGGTACGTCCTCCCCGGACACTAGCTAGTCTTGTGAGGTCTTTCCGGGACACCCGGCTGGTCTGGGTACGTCCTCCCCTGGCATCTGGCTGGTCTGGGTACGTCCTCCCCTGGCATCTGGCTGGTCTGGGTACGTCCTCCCCTGGCATCTGGCTGGTCTGGGTACGTCCTCCCCTGGCATCTGGCTGGTCTGGGTACGTCCTCTCCCGGACAATGGCTGTTCGGGGTACGTCCTTGTCGGACACTGGATGGTCTGGGTGCGCACCCCGCCGGACACCTGGCTGGTCTGGGTGCGCACCCCGCCGGACACTGGCTGGTCCGAGTACGTTCTACCCCGGACACTGGCTGGTCTGGGAACGTCCCGTGCGGGACGGTCAGAGAGCAGCTATCTGAACTGGACGCCGACTGGACTGTCGAACTGGACCTAGTGGACCGGACAAGTGATAACCGCCGCTGCGCCGGCAGAACCTGACTGGTGGCGTCAACGGTGGACTGTACATCACCGACGTCACCAACGCCTCCCGCACCATGCTGATGAATATCGCCACGCTACAGTGGGATGACTACCTGTGCGGGTGAGCTGACCGGTTGGGTCTGTTCTGAGCTTTTCGGGAATTTCAGGAAACGGTCTGATTTGTTGTGTGTTGCTCGCTGGAAAGTGTCAGTAAATATGAAGCATGGTGATGAGTTGGCGTCCTGCCATTTCAGGTTTGCACGTTACTTTAAGATTTGTCTATTTTTTTATACAGTCTCGTTTTGTAGTCACCACTCGTGTGCTGTATTTCTCGCGTCTTGTCACGGGGGCCGCGCTCGTCCCGTGCTTGACATTAGTTTGATTCCAAAATTATAGATGACACCAAGAAGCATTGAAAAATGACGCGTCCTTGGCGAAAGTAGTACAGATGGGCTTTAGCCGCTATCTCCTCGGACGTCCCGCTGTAGGGCTCTGAGTGGTTATTGCCCATGTATTCGTCTTCAGCGGCCCGTTGCATAAAGTTCACCACCGTCGGCCGGGTCTAAGGAAGACTTTTTTGCGTGAAGAATTGTCTGTAGGCCAACCGCGAATGATAAGAACTTGTTGGGGTCCCTTAGCCTTGCCATCGACACTTAAGCGTCACGTGTTTGAACGGATAATCCCTGGGTCGAAGGCATTTATTTTGTCGCCCACTTGTCTCGATCAGTTGGAAGAACCTCGTTTGGCGTTGGTGAGCTGTAGTCGGAGGCTTAATACAGCAAACTAAGCTGAAAGGCAAGAGGAAGTATGAATATTCTGTGTTAGGGGATCTGTACTCCTGATGATGCAGCTTTGTTCACAACAGGGGTAGGATTGCTTCAAGTCAGTATTTTCGTATTTACTCGATGGAAGATTTGTGTTTTCTTTCTGGTAGCGATGGTTAGTTTTGGGTCGACAGGCCCAAAGTTCACCATCCCCCCCCCCCCCATCATATCCGGGAAAGCAAATACATGAGTGATGGGCGGGCGTATCGGCCATTTCGTGAATTCCTGAAGGACCCGAGGTCCTGGGCCCGAATGCAAGCAACCAAATGAATGTTTAATACGCCGACGATTACGTGGCTGGCAGTGTCACGTGACTGAGATTGATGGCACCAGCGACCAATGGCCTCTGGTGGTCGGTGATCGGATGAATGTGACGTCACCCTGCGCATGACGACACGGAGTGGAAGCCTATCTGTCGCAAAATTATGGTGTTGCCAATGGATTTTGTAGAAAGTAAACCGCCTGGTCACGTCAAGTGTACTGTTGAATTGCTTTGTTTTTACGTTTTAAAGGTGAATTCTACCGAGCAGAAAAGGCCATCATCGTATTTTGACATGGAATGTGCATTCGCCACCGAGGAGTACCCAGGCTTCGGGCGGTGTGTTTGATGTTCGTCCCCCCCCCCCCCCCCACACGCGCGCAACGAACCACGTGCGAGTTATACGGGCTGATTCGCCATGAGCTATCTGGTCTCCGTAATAATCAACTCTCCGGCTCGCTCGGTGCCGGCTGTTGGTCTTACGGATGAGGGTGATGTTCCTATGATTCGTCTGCCTTGTGGCTTTTGCTCTTGCTGTTTGACTATGTTTTGCCGTTTTCAGTTTTTTATATTTCATTATCCTTATGCCCGTATTATCGAAATGTAGCATAGGAAAGAGCAATAAGAAGCTTAAGAACCTTTTTTATCACAGAAAGCTGTATATTTGATACATGGCAAGAGTGGTTTCCCACTGGGTGGCTTATTCTCGATGTCATTGCCATGGATAGGGGAGAAGCATCCATGAGCTACAGTAGATACATCCATTGCCCGGACATTGTCTTGGACTTCCGTGGGTTGTAATCAGCGAGCCTTTTTGAAAATGTTGCCGACAGGTACCGTCATGAAAAAAACAACCGAGGCGCTGTTGTCGTTACTTCAACGGGGGAAAGCCGCGACATGTATCCACAACGCGTACAGAGTGTTGCAATTTATCGCGTCTTAGTCATGCGACTTGTTCTCAGGTTTTTTGACATCCCGAAGTCGATTCTGCCGGAGATCCGCAGCTGCTCGGAGATATACGGCCATCTGACGTCGGGTGCGCTGAGTGGCGTTCCCGTCTCTGGCGTGAGTACTGGCCAAATGACTCACTTTGACTGAAAGGCCCTTCGGCGGGCCTGGCGCAATGTGGGCGGTAGTATTGCTGGCTGCGGGTGTTGCTCAAAAACTAAAGACACCCACCGTGTTCTAGTCATCTAAGCTCTAGAAATGTGTAGAAGAAAGCACAAGACAAAGCCTGCATGCCGCGTTCTTGCGTCCCAGGGAGCTGTGTCCTCTCCTGCTCGCCGTGGTCGTGTCCCAATTTCCGGCGCCCCGCCGTGCCCTGGGACCAGGTGTCCCCGAGCTGGCGGCGCCGGCTGACGTATCATGCTGTCGGGACGTACCACGTGGCCGCAGACTGTCGCTGATGACGTCAGAGGCTGCACTTCTCCCCCGGTACTGCACGTCTGGTGGCCAGGAGATGGGTGGAGGGGAGAGGGGTAGATAAGAAGTGTGGAAGAGATTAGGACCAGCGGATTTGTCCTATGCGATTAGAACTATCGCCAGTCTGGGCATAAAGGCGCTTTTTCCTGCTTGTTGTGTAACCTCATGTAGATATCGCCATCCTAGGTACGTAAGCGTTATTTCCCCGCTTGCTGAGGACCCTCGTGTAGATATCGCCAGCCTAGGTATACCGGCGCTATTTCCCGGCTTGTTGTGCAACCTTGTGTAGACAGCACTGTCTCCTCTGGGGCGCGTTGTGAGTCATGGATGGTTCTTGCCGTCGGCATGAAACAGACGCGGAGACGCGCGCCTGGTGGCTCGGGCCAGGTTGTGTGCTAAAAGAGTCCACGTCTGTGTCGATCTGGTGGCATGTGGCCGCATGTCTGCTCTTGTTCAGGACCTGTGCGTTGAAGCGGGCTCTACTCCTGCTCGGTGAAGCGGAATTTACACCCCATGTGCCATGTGTCTATATGCAGCACCGGGTTGACGGCGGGTCCGGTCAGTTTCGATCTGCTATCGAGCTCCAGGCGAGACACCCAGACTCGTGTAGATCGAAGCAGTTTGCGTGCCGGCGCATGCTGCAGCCGGTCGGGCCGGTGTATGGCTGGCGGATAGATGGCTGTCCGTGTCGGTACTCGCTGTTGCACGGTCTTGGCTTACGCTACTAGCGTGCTGCTTATGTTAATGTTGAAATTGGGTACACCAAGAAGCAATCCTAATGCCAGTCGTCTAACTCAGGGGCACGGACGGCGTCGATATTTATCTCGTTTTATCGACAAGAACAACAAATTTAATACCGTAACAAGAAGACATGCCGAGGGTTCTGTTACAGATCATCGCAAAGGTGAATTCGCGTAAAACGAGGCACCTTTCCACGTATGCAATTTAATGGCGATGGTCGTCTGGTTGCCACGCAAGTCAGCCACGGCCGAGTCAGTCGGCTACATATTCCGGTGATCGGTTGACCGTTGACCAAAGCTGGTGTACCCAGGGTGGACCTCGCTCACGCCGCGACATCTGTGCGGTGTGCTGTGTTGCGCCGTAGCTGGCCGTACCTGGCGTGACCTTGGTGTGTGTGTGCTCTGGTGTGCTGCGTCCTACTGCGTCTGCTGCTGTGGCGTCGTTGGGTGCACCGGGCGCAGATCCTGGTTGACCAGCAGGCCATCCTGTGCTGTGCTGTGCTGTGCTGTGCGGTGTCGCGCCTCAGTTTCTGCGCGGGCCGTCGGCAGATTCTGGGTGACCAGCAGGCGGCGCTAGTGGGTCAGATGTGTCTTAAGCAGGGCCAGGCCAAGAACACGTACGGCACCGGCTGCTTCCTGCTCTACAACACCGGCTGCAAGGTATGTGTGTTGAGGTCGGCCGTAATGCATTGCACGGCAGACGGCTGCAGGAGGACGTGCCGTTTCTGGTGTGTCGGGTGTTTGTAGCATTGCACCGTGTTTCGGACAAGCCGTACAGGACAATACACATTTCAGGAAGGTTAACCTGTCGTTCTCGCCCAAAGCGCTCGATTCGGGAAAACGCCTGTAGCTGAAAACCGTCGGCAACACCTCGAATTGCGCGACGGTCATAAACTGTGTACCGTTGCAAATTCGAATTGCTTTCGTATCACCTCTTCGCCGCCACATTAATGCAACTTCGGTGCCCACTTGCCCGTCATTGGCCTGACAGATGCTGGAGTGATTGCTCGTGGTCTTGACGCACGCCAATTTGCAGAGGTGGATTGATCTAATTTTATCGGCCGCGCATGTAGTTCTAAACGATAACTACCACGTCTACCATGCGCAGACAGTGCTTTGCACAGTTCGTCACCAGTGGCACGTCATTTGGCCGCGGCGCATACATGCGGCCATGCTCGCCCCCCCCCCCCCCCCCCCCCGTGTGGCAGTGTGCGCTGTCGCCCTCTGGAGCGCGCGCCCGCACTGGCGGCCGTTGCCCTCTGCGGTGCGCGTGCCCGCTCTGGCGGGCGTCGCCCTGCCCGGCGCGCATGCCTGCACTGGCGGCCGTCGCTGTCCGGTGCGCGTGCTCGCTCTGACGGCCGTCGCCCTGTCTGGTGCGCGTGCCCGCACTGGCGGCCGTCGCCCTCTGCGCTGCGCGTGCTCGCTCTGACGGCCGTCGCCGGCTGGTGCACGCTGACGGACGCGGCGTGCGCGGGTGTGCTCCCCAGATCGTGCAGTCCACCCGCGGCCTGCTCACCACCGTCGGCTACCAGATGGGCAAGGAGGCGCCCGTCATGTACGCCCTGGAGGGCTCGGTGGCCATCACCGGCGCGGCCGTACGGTCAGTGCGCGTCAGGAGTCAGGGCCGGCCGGTCACGGGCTCAGCCGCAGCCGTGCTTGGGGTCAGGCTTCTGCTGTAGTGGGGGTGTGGGCGTGGTCGTCGTCGCTGTCACAAACACAGTTACGGTCGCTGTCGCAGTCGCAGACGCAGACGCAGTCGCGTCCGCGGCATCAGTCACGTTCACGTTGCCCGTGTCCCAGTCGCGGTCCAAGCCTCCCCCGCCCTTGTAGCGCTCTCCGCCGCCGCTTCAGCTCTCTGTGACATAGCTGCCTGTCCGGCCCCCGTCCGCCGCCGGCACGCCCTCCGCCGCCGCCCCAGCTCGCTGCCACGCGGCGCCCCGTCCGCTCCCAGTCCGCCGCCGGCGCGCCCTCCGCCGCCGCCCCAGCTCGCTGCCACGCGGCGCCCCGTCCGCTCCCCGTCCGCCCCCGGCGCGCTGTGTGCTGTTCACTGCACGCGAGTGGCCCGGTGCCGGCCCGAACAGCACCACCCTGGTAACTGTGCGCGGTCGCGTGGCGTGAGTCGCCTCCGGCCGCCCGGAGCGCAGTTGGTCAGCTGGTCGCCTGCGTGACGCGATACCTGTGGGGCGTTCGTCTGGTGGCCGTGGCCACGGCTACGCTGCTGCGGTCAGCGCAGACGGTGGGGCCGCCGTCAACGGGACATGCAGCGTGCAGTGACGCATGCTAGCGAGGTCTGCGCGTTACATTCCATACGTGCTCGTTGCGGCGTAGGGACTGGTGCGGGTGATGGCCGGCTTTGCAATGTTTCCCTGCACTGTGACACGAAGGGTGCATTGCAATATCTCCCTGCACCATGCTGCCTTCTGTCCTGTGTCTAATTTATGGGGTCTCCGGCGACAGCGCGGGAACAGTGACTGCGATGACCGGCCTTGACGATGACGTCATGACGACGGGTCATGCGCCCACACACCAGCTCAAAACCTGAGTAATTCCTGTGGGACATTTGTCCAGACTGTTCACAACCGAGCCGTCCTGAATACTCTGAATATGAGAAATGCATATCCTGCTACTTGCTCACATTGGTAAATAATATTGATCACTTACCTTCGGGGGTACACCGACACGTTTTTTCGCCTCACTTACGATTGAGCCTTCTCCGTACTCCATTGTCACGTGCTCACGCTGCACGCTGCTCCGTTGGCCGAGACGGTAGCCTGCTCAGTCGTGCGTGACTACACGGCCAGTCGTGTGCTTGGCGTCACCACAGCGCCGCGTCCGCCGCGTGTCCGGCGAGGGCGGCGGACGGCGACCCCGCCTGACCGGCTCCGGTGACCCGCCCGGCCGCCAGGTGGCTGCGGGACAACCTGGGCCTGATCTCGGAGAACGCCGAGGTGGAGGTGCTCGCGCGTCAGGTGAAGGACACGGGCGGCGTGTACTTCGTGCCGGCGTTCACCGGCCTGTACGCGCCGTACTGGGACGACACGGCGCGCGGGTGAGTGAGGGACGGCAGGGTGAGCGGGGGTACCCGAGGACGGAGGGTGTGGTGAGGGACGGCAGGGTGACTGGGGAATCCGAGGACGGAGGGTGTGGTGAGGGACGGCTGGGTGACGGGGAATCCGAGGACGGAGGGTGTGGTGAGGGACGGCATGATGACGAGGGAATCTTTGGTCGTAAGGTGTGGTGAGGGACGGCTGGGTGACCGGAGTATCCGAGGATAGGAGGTGTGGTGAAGGACGGCAGTGCGGTGGGGGGGGGGGGGGGGGGGGGGGGGGGGGAGGGAGCGGGTCCGAGGACGGAGGGTGTGCTGAGGGACGGCTAGGTGACTGGAGTATCCGGGTACGGGAGGTGTGGTGAAGGACGGCAGGGTGACGGGGGGAGGGGCGGGAGCGGGTCCGACGACGGGAGGCGTAGTGAGGGACGGTAGGGTGACCGGGGATCCAAGGACGGAAGGTTTAGTGGGAGACGGCAGGGTGATGGGGGGGGGGGGAGGGGACGGGTCCGAGAACGGAGGGTGTGGTGAGGGACGGCAGGGAAAAGTGTAACTGCCGTGGGGAAAAGAAGTGATGGGTTGTGTACGGGCGCGCCAGAATGTTGAATGAGAGCAAAGGTATGTGGCTGAGCCCGCCACTGTCTTGAAACTGTAAAGTGGGCATTGCCTGTCGTCTGAAACGCACACATGAGAAGCGTCATTATCCTGCCTCTCAGATTGTCAGGAATGCCTGCTCTCGTGCTGTGAATTTAGTGAATGCCGGCACAACATGGCTCAGCTATTCATGGCTTCCGCTCCCGCTGTGTAACTCATGTTCCCTCTCCCCTGCGCCTTAGCACGATATGCGGCCTGACCCAGTACACCACAAAACAGCATATCTGCCGAGCCACGCTGGAGGCCATCTGCTTTCAGGTACGTGGTGGGCGTGACCGGGACTCGGCACGGGGTGTTGTGCTCGTAGCACGTCGGTCACGTGCGCTCCGTGCAAGACTGAATCGAAACGGCATGGCAGCCCAGTTGTACTGGGTTCCGAAGTCTCCCATTGAGTATGGAGTGCCTGGGTGCGGTGAAATGCGCGGTAGGCGGCGCGCTGGCTCGTCGCCACAGACGCACATCGGCGCTGACACCGGCTCCGCAGACGCGGGCACCGCAGTCCGAGCCGACGAACCAGGACTCTGGGATCCGCTCAGTGTTAGTGTCGCTCAGGATACCGCTCCTGCGTTTCCTGGGCGTTGATGATGATGATGAAGATTTCGAACGTATCGAGTCGGTGCTCGGCGATCCGCCGTTGATGATGTTGATGCCCGGGTGCGGTGCCCCCAGACGCGGGAGATCCTGGACGCGATGAACCAGGACTCTGGGATCCCGCTGACGGCGCTGCAGGTGGACGGCGGTGGCACCGTCAACACGCTGCTGGTGCAGCTGCAGGCCGACCTGCTCGGCATCCCCGTCGGTGCGTGCTGTGACGTCAACATGGACGCCGGCTGACGTCACCGGTGACGTCACTGTGCGCCGGGCACAGAACGCGTTGGTCTCGTGGTGCCTGGTGTTGATCGCCGGCGACACTTGTCCCCTTTTATCTGCTGTCCGTGGAGTGGCTAAGCCGAAGTGTAAACGGATTTCGGTTGGTTTTGGCACGGGGCGGACGCGTGGCGAGTGTTTACACAACCTGTCTGTCTGGAAACTGTCTGGAAGCGCGGAGTCCTCATTGGGGACACTGCCCGGCGATCGCGCAAAATGTCAGTTCCCGGAAGATCTTGTATGCAAGCATTGATTTGTGTGCGTCCCGTTTCATCTGGCGTACGCTGCACGTGCAGCGTACAATTAATCCTGATGACTGCAGTTCGCGATCCCGCTGGCCCGCGGCGTGATCTCACTGACCTGCGGCGTGACCTCCCTGACCCGTACTTGACACCGCGTGTACATCGACAAGCGACCGCGTGTTGGCTCGGCTGTGTGTCTTTAAGAAGCTGCAGTGCGCCTGACCGTACGTTCGGTGTACGTCCGGATCTGGGACCACATATCGTGTGTCCGTGTATGGCATGTCGGTGCTCGTGTTTCTCATTCGTGGCAGTGGTGTGTCAGGCTGTGCCTGATGTGCGCTTGATGCCGCACCTGCAGTATGAGTCTGTCTAAGGTGTGCTGCGCTGTCCGTGGCATCTGCGTTGGTCTTTCGTGTGCGGCGGACTGTACCACGCTGAGCGCAGGGTTTAGCTTGTGGTGTTAACCCTGCTGGCCCGCCGTGTGACCCCCGCTGAGCAAAGTGCGATCCCGACGACTGCAGCTCGTGACCTCGCTGATCCGCAGCGTGCCCTCGCTGACCCGGAGTCGACCCCGCTGACCCGGTGCGTGGCTCCGCCGCCCGCAGTGTGCCCTCGCTGACCCGGAGTCGACCCCGCTGACCCGGCGCGTGATTCCGCCGCCCGCAGTGCGGCCGACCATGCCCGAGACGACGGCGCTGGGGGCGGCGATGGCGGCGGGCGCGGCGAGCGGCGTCGGCGTCTGGAGCCTCTCGCCGGAGGACCTCAGCCACGGCACCACCGACCAGTTCAGCCCGCAGATCGGAGATGACGGTACGGCCACGGAACCGGAGGCGAGCGCTGCGGCAGCCGCACCAACTGTCAGTGCGATTGCCGTCCGCTAGGTGGCAGCTGAATTGGTCTCGTTTTGTTCGCCGCCGCTTTCGCTTTCGTTCTGGGACCCGGTGCCCGGCGGTTTGTAGGTGAAGTATTGAATGTTGCGTTGCTGACACCCCAAGGCTGTTCTAAAAGGGACAGGAGTCATAACAGGGAGGAGTCAGAGAGCTCAGTGAAGCTGTAGCAGACCAGCTCTACTGGGCCGCCTTGTCCCTATTGATAGGCGTGGACTGTCATTATGACGGAGCACTGGCACATGGATCATCGTGGTTATCTCAGATGTTGTAGGGTGCGGCAGTCTGCAGGCAGCTGTGGTGGGCAGCCCAGTCCCCACTCAGCAGCCTGCACTGTCGGTCTGATTGTTAGCGGGCGTCTGCGGCGCGCGACCTCGCTACGTATGCGTCCCTGCGCGCTATTTGTTTATGGGATTGTTTATGTTAGTTTTACCGCCCAGGCAGCAGCCGTATGTCGGTGAACATTGGCTGTGTTGTCATAGGGGCTTTACTACGCACTCCCCTTCGGAGGCTGTTTGCCTTCGTCCTCCGCTCACCCTGGCAGGAAGGGCCGGGATCGCGAGGAACGGAGCCCCTTCATCTGGTTTCCCAGACACGCAGCCGAACATCGCAACCAATGCTCGGAGGTTTCGGTCGCCCAGTGGTGAAGCTGCGTGTCTGGTGAACACGGAAAACTGATAACGTCGTAGTGAATGCTCAGGGGTTCCGGTAGCGCATTTGTTATCAGTGAAATGTTCATTATGTGTGCTTGGGACGGGCTTTGCCTGGACCACCTCTGGTTCAGCCCATCAGGCAGCCCTAATGATGCCTGTGCTGTCTTACCTGATTCTCTGATCCCACTACACCCCGGTTCTGCTTTTCTGTCTAACCTGACCCTGGTCTCCTGCCTGACCTGGTCCAGGCCTCCCGTCTGACCTGAGCCAGGTTTCCCGTGTAACCTAGCCCTTTTCTCACATCTGACCCGACTCCACTTTCGCGCCTTGCCTGAACCAGCCGCCGGCGCCGTCTCGGACCTTGCCTGACTTGGTCGCCAACCGCCGGCGCCGCTTCTGATCTCGCCTGATCCGTCGCCTCGCCCGCCGGTGCCGCCCCGGACTTCCCCTGACCCGTCGCCCCGCCCGCCGGCGCCGCCTCTGACCTCTCCTGACCGGCACCCCGCCCGCCTGCGCCGCCTCTGACCCCTCCTGACCCGTCGCCCCACCCGCCGGCGCCGCCTCTGACCTCTCCTGACCCCGCCCGCCGGCGCCGTCTCTGACCTCTCCTGATCGGCACCCCGCCCGCCTGCGCCGCCTCTGACCTCTCCTGACCCGTCGCCCCACCCGCCGGGGCCGCCTCTGACCTCTCCTGACGCCGCCCGCCGGCACCGTCTCTGACCTCGTCTGACCCGTCGCCCCGCCCGCCGGCGCCGCCTCTGACCTCGTCTGACCCGTCGTCCCGCCCGCCGGCACCGCCTCTAACCTCGCCTGACCCGTCGCCCCGCCCGCCGTTGCCGCCTCTGACCTCCCTGACCCGTCGTCTCGTCGGCCGGCAGAGCGGGACGTGCGCTTCGACCGCTGGAAGCAGGCGGTGTCCCGCTCTCGGGACTGGGAGCCCGTCACGGAGCGCTCACCGCTGCCAGGTACGCCGTAGCTGGCCGGCCGCCGAGCGCCGCCGCCGCCGCCGGACGCGCCGTCGCGGCTCGGTGACGCCACTGGGCCGGCCCACGTCCCGCCTCCTGCGGCGCCTATGTCAGCTGCACGCGGTGGAGGGCTTGCTCGCGGACTTGGCTGCGGTGGTGTGCACGCGTGCCGTAGTGTCGTGTCAGACAGCGGTGGCGGCGGACGGCTACGTCGGGCCGTTTATTTACACAGCATCGGCCGGTACAAACTTCGGATGACGACTGCGGCGCGGTGACATACCTTCCAGACGAGTCTCCACCAAGGCCAATCATGATACGTACTTTCTACTGGGTGACGGTCTTTGAGATACTTTCGTAGTCTATCGAGTGTTTATGGCGCAGTCATTTCAATCGTGCAGTTGGTGCTTATTCGTATGATTTTTTTAAAACTTTTTTCGGAAAAGCATGTTGCAATCATGGACTTACGAATCGCGCATCGGGGTTGACAGTTGATCATGGACTCTAGAGTGGCATCTTTGGAGCTGGGAGCGTTGATGTCTGGTATCCGTTTCGTATCGAGATGGCGCATGTACTTTACTTGGGGTTTTTGGGAAATATACACTGCTCAAAGATTTCCCTTAGTTGTTTTGGTTCCTTTGGTGCTCAGTCTGTTTTTGCGGACGCTTCAAAATGCGTTGTCCCGCTTTTTTGCCTTTTGGTTCCCTTCTAAACCTTCTGTATACAAGAAAATCCATTAGTGTAAGCTGGTGCTCTCAAAAAGTACTGCGTGTGATTTTCCGGCTTGCCAAGATGATCACACTCCTCACATCTTACCCCTTGCATTTGTGGCAGATACGTTCTAGGTGACGATGTTGAGTTTGGCAGCAAAGTAGCCTACCTTTGAGGCGGCATTCATGGAAGGGGTTGAGGAAGAACCAGTAGTTCATGATGTACTTCGGTTTTTGGTAAGGCTCACTGCTCAATGTGTGCGCTGGATACGTGACTTCCCTCAGTTTGTATTCGAGGTCATTGGACAAGGACATGCTCCTTAATTAGGGGGTATCTTAGGGTGACCCAGTTCTGCCGAAATCATATTCGTTTCGGTCGCTGTCACGCCAGAGCTCCCAGATGCTGCACTCACACGGTAGTTTTGCCTTTGGTCCAAATATTTACTGCACTGATCTTTCCGAAATGGCCAATGCCAGCTCCGGCATAGATATGAGGATCTTTGATTCTAAGGTTCAGGGAAACAGCAACGCCCCCAAGCCCCAAACTGTGACTGCTACATGTAATCCCCCGGGGGGGAGGGGCAGCGAAAGTAGTGGGCCCTTCTCCAGTTGTCACTTTTCAAGCGTGACAGCTGTATACGCTCTCTGCGAAGGAGGAAGCCCGGGATTTCGGCCCTTGCGTAATCCCGTAGCATTACGGGGGTGGGGTTCGGCTCATTTTTGGTTTAGATCAACATGTGTTACCGATGATGTTAGCGTGTTTCCCATCGCCTCCAGTGCATGTACCTCTCGGTTTGGCGGCTTCTCTAACGGGCACGCAAAACTGACATTCACATTTTGCACCCACCTGAAGCGTATTAACCCTTACAGGAAGCTAAGGAATCATCTGAGGGTCTTAAGATGTGTCCATGCTTTACGTCGACGTTTGTAAGTTTCCTTTCAGCAGGATGTTACATTGTTTGGCACATATTTGGTGGCTGTTTTTCGCATACGTTAGCCGATGCATCATGCTATCGTTTGATTATTTTTGCGCCACTGCACGCAGAGTTATTAACAATCCCAGGTTCTCCAGCCTTCGCCAGCTGGGCCAGCGTCGCCACTTTCTGTGACGCGCGAAGCATGCCCGCTTCTGATTCCGCACGTGGTGTGCTGGAGAGAAAAAAACAAAGTGGTAGTGCGGTGCGTGAGCCCCAAATTTGAACCGTCTTACAACTGGCCGATCAGGTTAGGGTAGGTTGGAATTTCAAACTACCCGATTGCCGCCTGCGTAACCTTGGACGCATTCGCAGGGTACGCCTGACGTGGTGCGTAGCATGCCATCATTCGCTTCCAAGGGGCATGTGAGGTCGTCGGATGTCATTACATGACCTCATGCGACGTTGACCTAGAATGACCGTGCGCGGTCTGTCCTCACGGCAAACGGTGTTATTGCTCTGCGATCAGGCTCCATGTACCGCACGTAGGCGGTTTTGAAGGTCAGACCGGACGCGGCATCGACCTTCAATGACCTTTACGTTGGACACGGCACGAATTCGTCACCTTGGCTCTTGAAACGTATAAAAAGCAGATCTCATGTAAATTTTCAATATTTCATTTGACGTGACCTTGGGCTGCAAGTGAACGTCCGTAAGTTCATGAACATGGATGGTGTGCATTATGCAAGACATCCACATATCCAGGGCCACTAGGGAGGAAGTCTAGTAAAAACGGTTCAGAATGCGTCAGAACGCACCATTTGGTTGCGTTTAATTTGTCCTTGCACAGCTGGGATACGACGTCATTGGTGGGTGGCCCAACATGGTAGGGTCTAGAAAGTTGCCAACAGGAGTAAAATACAATGCACACGCACAATTCTCAAAAAAGGAAAATACTACGACGCACCGGACGTTGCGAGAGATAGCCATGAAAAACAGGAGGCGGTGGTACGTCCACACCTTCGGCGTCCTAGCGAGGGTTAAAACATCAGGGTTATCCGCCAGATATCGCGTGGCTGCAGCTCGCTCCCACAGAAAGACGTTTTGCACATTGCGATTTTCCATTTCCGCCTGTTGGGCCCACGCGGATCAACCTCCGGCCCGCAGACGGTGCCCGCTGACCTCCTGCCCTGCTTCAGATCGGCGCCACCGCCTGCTGACGTCCCTGCCGCCCGTCTGGTTCGTCTTCTGCTCGGTGCTGCTGCTCGTGCTGGCCAGAGAGCGGGGCTCGATGACGGCGAGATGACGTCACCACCGGGCTGGTGTGACGTCACCCGGCAGTTGACCAGTATTAAGCGTTAGGGAACGGTGATGCTCATTTTCCAGGAGAAGTAGACACGTGTCACTCGCCGCCGGCAGCCGTCGCCGGTCTGGTTGTGAGGCTGGAGCTGTGTACCGCGGTGTTGGTGTGCGGATGTGGACCAGCGTAGGCGAGCGTCAGGACCTCCTTTTCGTCTCAGGTGGCCGGATCCCCGGTCACGTGAGGCCCACCCCACGGTCCCGCCACGGCGCAGCTGATGTTGCCTCTCTGGCGGACAGACCATGCCAATCGTGATCACCCTGGGGCAACCATGCTTCAGGGCATGCTCAATGCCCTGAAGAGCGCTTTCGACGCCAAGGGTTGAACTTCAGATGCCCGCGTTTGTTTATAAGCTTTCGATCCTCATTTGCTTGTGCTACTGTCAAATATTTATTTCGATCTCACGAGTTTTGTCGGGACAGGATACTCTACAATAATGTACCTGGGCCACGCATTTGTTTCCTTTCTGTCGACTTCGCGGGCATTTGCGGGCTGCCTTAGTGCCGCGCACTTGATGTCCGCGGCTCTCCCATGCTTCCAGTTTGCGGTATCTCTTCGGTTACTGACGTTTCCGTACCCTGAATATTTTCGCGGTGATCGTATCCAGTCAGATTCAGATCGTGGGGTGTTTTGACATCTACAAGTCGTTTTGGAACCGTGAAGTGATCGTCCATTGATAAGTGGTCTTTTTTGGAGTTCAATGTGCAATAACTAGGCTCAGGTTCTATAGAAGCAGGCCCAGATTGCGTGGATGGCACGATTGGGTAGGATCAGGCTAACAGTGCATGGCTCGTGCCCTGCAGAAACAAATTAGCTCTGGTGGCGTGCAATGAACCGCCATGTAGTCGTAAACCTGTGTGCAATAAATGTAATTACTGGTGACCGCCTGTCCAATCGCCTTCGCCAAACAAGCAGCGATCCGATGCGAGGTCGCTAGTTCTGCTTGCTAACGAGCAAGCAGCGATCTGGCCGGATCGACTGATGGAAAGAAAACAAGCAAGGAGCGGTGATGTCACCCGGTCAGCGCCGGTCAGCGGCCCCGTGAGACCCGGCATTGCGGCTTGTTGGACGCCGGCCAGGGGCGTGATTACCTGCACATTCCCCGGCGTAATGAGACGCGTCGCCGAAGGGCAGCAGGATGACGCGCGTTTATAACCAGCACGATCAAATCCGGGAATGAACGTCGAGAAACTGGGAGCTGCTTCAGTGACGCGCCGGGGGAGAGCCCCGCTTAAACCAAGCTAAAAGCCAAAAAGCTTTCACAAAACTGAACTACGGAGTTAAGCGGTATCAAGACCGCGATTGTTGAGCCCGAGGGAACCCCGTTCTGGACCACGAGGAACAACCCGTCACGTGACGCGTTCTATCCAATTCCGGTCCAGCAAGACCCGCCCCAACACCGGGCAAAGGTGTCGCATATTTACCGCGAAGGGGACGAATTACCGCAAAGGGGACATTATATCACCGCGAAGGGGACCAAGCCAGGCACCTTCCTATCGGTCCCCTGTCCCCTCGACAGTCGCATGTCGAGGCCAGACGTGTGAGTCTTTCTTCTCCCCCTCGATGAAGCTGCTGAGAACCGGCCAGCGAGTCAGGTGGTCGGCTAAGAACTGGCCGGCGTGCCAGGTGGCCGGCTAAGAACCGGCCGGCGTGCCAGGTGGCCGGCTAAGAACCGGCTGGCGTGCCAGGCGGCCGGCTGAGAACGCGTGCCAGGTGGCCGGCTGAGATGCCAAGTGGTCGGGACTTTACCCCGGCCATGACGGCCCCCTTGAGGCGAGGCCTACACCAGTCGGTGAAAACAACCCGCCTGACCCCAACTGAACGGACCTGATAAACAGGGGCAGACGACCGGCCCTAGGACCCGGGTAATGGTGTTGTACGGCGGACAGGTATCGCACCGGACGGGACTGCGCGCGTAACAAACTCCACTCTCCAGACTGCGCAGAAGTCTTGTACCTCATTTTTAGGCCAGTCGCGTTGGAACAAAGTATCCGACCAAACAAGGAACCTTGGCTTGGTGTGATAGAGCCATGCACCGCGAAAGTTAAGTAGTCGCATATATACATACACGTAAACTGGGGTCGCACGTGCCCAACTCCCCCGAATGGCTGGACCACCCGGCCTTAGCTGAGAAAATACATTGTATGTACTAAGGTCATTCCACGACAAATCGGCCGCGGTTAGATGCATATTAACACGGCATCCCCTTCAAATTTGACGATGGCGGTTCTTAAGTACGATTCTGAAGTTTTAGAGCTGGAAGAGATATCGAAAAGAAACAAGTGCGAAAATAGGCGATGACGTCACGAACCCTGGTTTTTAGCTTCCTCTTGCGAAAGCAGTTTGCGGAGCCTGTTTTGGAAATGTATTTCGAAAACACATATACCAGTATACTTCTGAATTATGGGTCGGCATAAAATTCAACGCCATCCAAGTATCTAGTGACTGAGGCTGGCCGTTGACCTCATTTTCTGAAAAAAACTCGGTGCCTTGAGTTTCTTTAAACTGGCATGCAATTGAAGACCATCTTATTGCTTTTCAGGCTAAAAAAATCGATAACATCTCTTCTAGATCGTTCGCGAGTCAGATCTGAACACTGGCTGATTGTACACGGTGGCATACCATGAGCCAACAGTTCGGGGTCGGGTGCGATCGGCTCATTGCGTGGGGAACTGTGACCGTGACCTTGAGACCAACCGGTACTCTGGAACTATGTGTAACTGAACAAGGCATTTTCGTCGGTCTTACGTACATGTCATCTCTCCCGAATCACGTAGATAGACCCAAATGTGGGGAATAGACCGACCACGTTCTCATACTGGAAATACAATGCCATTATATTTGATCACGCGTGTCAAGAGCAATGTTGCAAAATATCAACTGAAGTACGTTATCATATCGCTTGTAATGCATTTGAAGGGCACGCCCGTCAACATGCGGCTGTGGATTGACTGCCTGCTGCTCGCCGCAACGCCGGACAATGCTGTTTCGCGGACAGCTTGCCCAGGAGCTGATATCGTTCTCGGTGCCGGAGACGTCTGATTATTGGACCTGCAAGTTTGCCTAGCCATCTGTAACTAGAAATTACCGCACCGGAAATTACGCTTGCGTCGTGTTGTCCATACGTGAATGATGAAGCTAAGCGGACTCATTCGAAATTGAAACAGCACGGCATAATTCATGGCATACACCATGAGACGCACAACCGCCCTTGTCCCTTAACTTCCGCCACAGCTGCAAAACACCGGCGCTCAGCTGGATGTAATGCCATCGCAGGGACAGCTTCCGACTGGCGATACCTGACCGATAACGCCCCCGGCCGCCCGGAGCTTTATCACCGGACACCGTCACCTCAGCGACAGCCCCGGCCGTGTGAGGGGCGGCACATGACCTGGTCCTGCCCGCAGACCGTGTGTGGATGGGATCCAGTAATGTAGCGTTGGAACGGTGGTGCTCACTGTTTGGAGCATCGAACACAACTTCCGCATCGTTTTCAGAGAAATATTTGTAGCATCGAATACAACTTTCGCATCGTTTTCAGAGTAATATGTGCGCTCTGTTTCGATTGATCTGGCGATAAACGATAGGTTTCGCCCCTTCATCACGTTTTCGTGCATATCAGATGTGATCCTTAATAAGGCCCCTGTCTAATAACGCTAGCGTGAAAAAGAGCTTATCTTTCCTTGCCAGGTCAGCTCGGTCATATGCTATGCCAGCCTGCAACAGCTGGTAGACCTTTCAAGACAGGACAATTGCGTCTGACCAGCAAATGAGCTCCAACATTCCGCAGTTCCTTAAAGTTAAACACGCGCCCGGGTGGCCGGTTTGATACCCTTCGCTCGGGCGGGGGTCAGTTTGACCCCCTGAGACCTCAGGAACAAAAAAAAGCTAGACACCAAATTCACAGGGCGTCTTGAACTGTGCCTGAACTCACTCAAGTCGAAGTTTAAGCTTCCTGGGTCATGACTATTGGGTCAAATAAGGTCAAACAAAGTCAAATACCATGCTGGTTCCCAAAGCGTCCCTAGAACCTAGACAACTGTTTTAGCAAAAGGTCACATGCTCATCTTAGGTCAGTGACTTTTTTATCTTTTGAAGGTCATGGTGTCGAAATGTCGAAAGAATCAAAGTCGAAATGAGCACCGGAAACAACCCCACACAGCAAGCCCTAGGTTTATAAAACAGGCTAGTTTTGACTTTAATCTAGGGGTGTCAATTTTTGTTAATTATTTTGGGGGGGGGGGCAAACCAAAAGCTCGACAATCTACCCCAACCCCATTTTTTCTCACCGGATTTAGCCCACTTTATTTTGACTTAATGTATGTTTGTGATCTTTGCATAATTTATAGTCTTTAATTTAAGAAGTTAAGAGGTCATGCAGGGTTGGATCCAGGGAGCAGGCACTGGACGCAAGCGTTCGCTTCCGATCGGCACGTGAAGGTGCCCCTATAGAGGCCACCTTAGGGCGCCGATGGTCCCCTTTTTTGGCGGTCATGGGAGGCGGCAATAATTTTGGTTGTGGGGGACGGGGCTGGGGTTAGACATGAAGGACTTAGGCCATCCCCATATTCCAGAGCTTCTCACTCTAACCTCACAAGCCATTGCGTGTCTTATGGCGTTAGGTATGTGAAGTTAACTGTATCTTTTTTCCGCTCAGCTGTTACGATCTGTATCTCGTAGTGGGAGCAACGATGACTTTTTGTTATAAGAGTGGTGCGAAACACCACTTCGCGGAAAGACCGGAGAAATAGTTTGTGTTATGATTATCTTTTACCCACGTTTTTTGTAGCATTCCGGTCAAAAACATTGCTGGGGGGCAAACCAACATTGAGGGGGTTAGGGCCCCCACAAAAGAATACAAATCGACACCTGTGCCTTAATGTGACCTTCATACCTGACCTAAGGTCAATGTCTTTTGTTTATTCAATTGTTGTGTTGCCTAAACAGTATATCAGAGACGCATGGCTAATGCTCCCCTGTTGGATCAGATTGAATAATTCCTGAGAAATTGCCTTCGCTGCAATCATGCCCCAAATTTGGCCTGCCATGGGTCAGCGACCTTACAAGGTACTCTAAATGTTTTATGCCACACGATCTGCTATGCAATTGTTTACAGCTGTGCAAAATTTGGCGCCGCTACGCCACGCCCGTTCGGAAACCATTCCGGAAAAATCTTCGGGGAGGGAGGTCAACTTGACCTCCCACCCGAGCTCGTGTTAAGAAGCAAAGGACATTTCCAGCAAAAAAAAAAAACACATACTGGGAACGATAAGATGGGGCACGTATGTATTGTCCCTGGGCATCTACCCTCTAATGTAACGATCAGCCACGTCCTGTCACTGCATCTGTATGCTGTTTGCTTAGAGTGCGTCTGTCTGTCCATTTGTTCTATTTTGCAGTGCAAATGCTCATTGCAGTTGATGCGTCCTTAAACCGCGAAACAACGAACTGCCCCATTTTTGCGTTGCCTCCAGCCCAGGACGAATGGTGGGCTACTGAACGGTGACTTTGGTCACGACGTGCAGGCGCACGGTGCGGTTGTCCACACATAGGTCGCGTGCCGCCGCGGTCCGGGATGCGAGCGGGGGCACGTGCCGAAAGGTCTGTTTGGACTGCATTGATTTTGCAAAAGCGGCCTGAAAAGATCCCCCATGACAAAAACTGACGAGTAGTCATTTGAAACCAGGACCACATCTCGGCAAGCGGGAGTCGGAGCGATAAGAAACTGTCATGTCTCGATAGATAACTGAATGGGAAATCACGTGGTGCCAGATGTGCTGTGGTCCGTGCCAAGAGTCACGTGCACAGCAGCGGGCGAGATGGATTTGCCCGTTCTTGATCGTTTTCACGTTTCATACCATATATTAGCAGGAC